ACAAGGCTATGATCTGGCTTCTATTTATTATCTCATTATGAACGATAAATATGCTAGAATGGCAGTGAAACATCCCATTCACTAGGGATACGAGAGCATTTTCCGATTCAGAAAACGATTATTCAATTCTGAATTTTACACTCGGATTCGTCGATTTTCTATCAAACAGAGAGAATACAGATGAGAGGACGAATCTGGCCTACAAATGGAAGGAAACTACAGATGAAGGTATAAACGAGGTGATAAAATATTCATAAACGAATCTGGCATTCACATAGGGCATTGTTGAGAACATACTCAATCAATTCAAGCGATCGAATTTTGCAATTCAGAATAAATGAGAGAATATTTTTTGCTCATACGAATGAATACTTTATGTAAGTGGTTAAAGAAGTGCGCGAAGTCAAATGATTATTCACATTTAATGTTCGGTGATACACCAGGGAATCTGAGTAGTTCATTTCATCAATCCTTCACAGAAAATTCACTTGTAACCGAAATTCTTCACGGAGAAAGAGTGGCTAGTCGAATGAAATTCTCAAATAAGGGAGGTGAGCGATCAATGAGAGACCAGACATTTTAGCAATATCATCGGGATATGAATGGCTTTTAGATATACCACTACCATGTGAATCCAGCGAACACTCTAAAGAATCTACATATATGCGTTAATATTCTGAAGGCTGAATGATATGAATGATATATCTATCTCATATTCTAGCGTGCATACTAGACATCATAAAAACGCATCAATCGCTCTGCAAGATGCATCATTAAGATGCATGCAATCTCATAACATCGTTGTCGTCATTCAGACAAGCCAAGAGCATATTAAGGAATGTAAAATATCTCATGAATAGTCGATGCTTAGTGCGCAGATATTCTTGATTTTACGAATCAAAAGGGACTATTCAGTAAGATTGATTCGCATCATAAAAATAAGCCTGGCAAGCAGCAAATAAAACCAACTGACCAACAAGCACTGTAGCCGTTTGTGAATGCAAATTTTCATATCCTTCATCACCACAACACGAGCCATCATCACGTGCGATCACCGTCAAATTATACGGCGATTCGGCATGTAATAAATCAGCGGATTTCACATTTGTTCGCAGTCTTATTAATCCTGAAAGGCGATAGCGTTTTGAGATGCTTCATGAATATTCAAAGAATTTGACGAACGAGAAAAATGGAAAATCCTATGGGGAACAAGTGGCAAAAATGAATGCAACTAAAACATTTCCATCATAAACACTGTTGATTCGAGTGGAATAATGTGATTTAGTATCAACTTTTCAACAGTATCACCTCTGCGTTTTTCTTTTTTTGAACTTATACACGCACACTCACACAAACATGACAGTAATTACTAGTTCGGCGACATGTTAACATGACAGCAGACAACAGTAGCATGAGTTCAAGGAAAGTAACGAGATTGAACTGACCTGTATCTTTATCAATTTCAAACAATCCGTTCGTTGTGGACTCCAAATCATCGCTCAGCAAAAACGCATATGTTACCTAAATTATTTCCATTTTACCAAAAACTCTCTCATTCGCGTTTTAAATTTAAACTTTTCATAAACTGACGACTAGGCTGGTATTAAAATTAAAAATTTCAGCAAAATTAGCACCGAATGATAGATGCTAATGAATCTCATTCATTCTAAGTAATCATTTTGAGTGTCTTTCACACAGATATGAAAGCTTTTCCAACAGAAGCTTCTGAACTGCCACCAAATTCGAGCAATCATTACAGATGCCCAATGAAATACTAAATATCAGACTGGCGAAATCAGCATATCGCTCAAAGAATAATCACTCGAGAACTGATCACCTGATCCCGATCAGGGTCTAACGCTTGAATCTGCACAATAGGTGTACCACCCTGCGCGTCTTCGGCTACAAACGCTGTGTAGAGACGTGTCGGTATGAATTCTGGTGCTTCATCATTCGTATTCTCTGTTCTGATATGAACCTAAAATGGAACTATGAAAATTTTTGGGGTGGCACTGCTTTCGGATAATCATTCAATATGAATGGTTGGTTTCATTGGGGAGTGAGTTCTAAACAGCAAATATTGCTGACAAAAACGAGCACTTCAAGAAGCAAATATCAATAGCAAATGTTGATTTTTTGTGAAACAAATTCGTTTTGAGATGCATATTTCCAATATTTCATAAAGCTTTGCTGGAGGTANTACGCTGTCGCATTTCCGAATAAATCATCCAATCTAGAAGCCGTTTTATTGGAGGATATTAAATTTCACCGTTTCTATTGTATCATCGAAATGTGTGTAATTCACATGAAATGAATGCAACACATTTTTAGAAGGCTTAAAATGAATCTAGGAATTCGTTCGTTGCAGCCTTGAAAAATGTCAGAAGCAAATAAAGATTCTTTAATAACACTAGTATTCCTCCCATTGGACAAAGACATATTTTCTGCAATTACTTCGAAAAAAGATTTTGTTCATCTGCAAAACAAAAACAATCTTCACACATAGCTATTTAGGATCATTATTTCTCAGGCACCACAAAGTTTTTCTTTTTCGAATCTTTCAAATACTTCTCCTTTGAATCTTCAACTCCTAACTTCAAATTCATTTCAATAATTCAAAAGAATAACTACTGAATTGAAAAACTGAGAAAAACACCAATTCTTTCACTCTAAATGCAAACGTTTCATGATAACATGAGGAGTTAT